TTGTCATCAAAAGTTACAATTCTCCAGAACCAAACTGCGTACAAGGGAGGAAACAGGAGAACTACACACAAAGATCAAGGTATTGGATTTAAGCAAACACTGAACTGTTGTAAAGCAAGAGGCAATTCTTATGAGAGAACCATCTCATGCTAACCATACAAACCAAAATGTATAAGACTGCAAAACTGAGGGCCACCTGCACAAGCTCAAACACAGAAAAAAGTCAACACATAAAATCCATGAATGCCATCTGCAGTTCAGAATTTCTGTAGCTCTCAAAATCCAAGGAAGTATGAACAAACACCAAAATCTGGAAACAAACAAACTCTTTGAGCCTCCATTATATCTCATTAACATAGCAGAAGTACTGCAGTATGAACAATAAGGGGAAAAAGAAAAATGTCTTGGAAGCAGGACACTGATTTTTGGATCTAGTTCTCTCAAAACAGTTTGTTAGTATCTACCAAATACTTCATACTTTCTGTTGCAACACCAGATACACAGTGAAGAAAAGTGCACGTCTTCCAGAGATAAATTTCTTATACTAAGCATATAAAAAGCTGAAAGCATGCTTTTAATTACATGCATATATACGGCTCTTGCCTCATTTATACACCTTTTGCATTTGACCTCCCCAAGAAAATACACTGTGAGCAATGAAACCAAAAAAGAACCATGTCAATTTCAGTCAGAGGCTGCAAGGCATCTAGGGATACTGTTCCCCAATCCTTCCCCTGCAGTTCACTGGAGAGCAGCTGGGGATCCCAGGAAACATATTTAACTCAAGGGGGGGGGAAAAAAAAATCATACCTCAGTCTTTCTGAAACAAAATTTTACAAAATTTTAGGTTATTTTTTTTGTCCCGATATGGGAAAAAATTATAAAAACCTGGTATTTTGGGGCAACTAAAATTTGATTTCCTAGTTATTTTTATGCACAGAGTAAAATACTTCAGCTGAATTATGGAGCTTTTTGTACAGACTGCTTTTATCAATTTGGCTGCTCCTCAAAAGGGTACACTAGAGCAATTAAAACATGTAAATGATTAAATTAATTCTAACACGCTCTTATTCACTGTCTGTATTAAATAGCTTTTTAAACTCTCAAACTCTTCTGCAAACATTTGCCTCCATTGTTTAGGATACATAATAGGCTCCTTTAAAAAAATAAAATAAATAAATAAACAGCAGTGCACCAGTAGGGATTTTGGGGGCTGATACTAATAGCGAATTTTTAAGGAGGCATATCGGCCAAAACCAATCTGATTAAAGATACCAGCCCAGCAGCTTGAAGAGCAGTGCCCAGCTGGTAAGTCTGTTGTGGTGGAAGGGGAGGGGGGAGAGAAGGGGAGTGGGGGTGCAGATCAATGCTCCCCGTGGTAAGGAAGGGAGTGGGCTTAGTGTTGGGGCTGGGACAGGGGCTGCCCAGGCAGGGTGGGGCAGGGCAGGTGTGGGATGGAGCTGCAGCTTGTCCAGGGGGCACTGGGGAGGTGGCACCCGTCGCTGTGTGCCACTCATCTGGCCAGCAGCTTGCCCGGTGGCTCCCACCGCTCATCCGGGGGGGGGGGGGCATGTACCCCTGGATCTGTGCGAGGCGTTGCAAGTGGGGCCGGGGCTGGGTCGGGCAGCAATGGTGCTGGGAGCTGGGCTATGGGGGGAGGATTGTGCTTGTGCACATACTACCTGTACCAGCAGGATTTTCCTAATGTAGCTATACTGTCCAAACTTGTAATTGTTGACTAGGCCTAAACACAGCCACAAGAAAAAAAACCTACTAAGGACAAAGCAGTTTTGGTATTTTGTATGAGGTAGTTAACTTGCTTTAAAAGCACACCCACCCAGTTCCCTTCCACCATCCCTTTGTAAAGACAAGTCTACAGACATGGGTTTGCACTGATTTAACAGTATTGTTAAAAACAAAACAAAACCCAACCTAAACCAGTACAACTTTTGTACATTTTCTAACTTTTAAGAGTGCTGATGCTTTAATCTATTATAGGGTACAGACAGAAGTGAAGCACCCAGCTGTAACTCAGAATGTTTTCTGCAAAGTGTTCTGAGTTACGCTGCCCCAGACCAAACAGAAGTTCACTGTTGGTTCTAGGAGGGAGGGGCTGGGCTGCAGCAAGGTTCTCGCAACAATGGCCACAGTTCTCTGCCAGAACTTGCTGTTTTCAGAATGGGAGAGGGGAAAGGCAGCTCATTCTTGATGAAGCTCATTCTTGGAGCTTCCCAGCTGGTGCTGAAGGGTGGTGTGGGTGAACTGGAGATCCCTCAGCGTGGGGTGGGAAGTGCCAGTACACATGCCCCACCCTCCCTGAACTCCCTATGCTCCTTCCCCCACCACCATTCTGAAACTAGTGACAGGCTGGGAGCTCTGCAGACACAAGTTACAGAAGACATCTTGCAATATCTTCATCCAATACCTCATGCAATGAGGGGTCAGATTTTCACTCGATTAGCTATTTTTGAAGCTGTCTGCAGCTGTGCACTTGTGTTTGGTCACAGCTATAAACTGTTTTCTATGGTTAGATGAAGAGAAAATTGTCACTTCTGTCTGCACCCTCAAATTAGGGGAAATTACTTAAGCACTTCTGGGCTACATCTAGATGAGTGTGGACATGTGGTATGTGGCACTGCACACCCACCTGTGGTGCCACACACCGCACAAACAGGCATTCCCTGTGCTGCTACCTTGTAGTGTGGAGGGGTTGAATACCCATGCTGAAAAAAAATGGAGCCTGGCCAGCTGGAGCCATGCTCCAGCTGCTGACCAGTCTTCCTATTACAGCTGCAGCTCCAACTGCCCCCCCAAGGCCCTAGGTAAGGTTGCTGGGACCAGCACAGTTGCTAGCCCCAGCATCCCCTTCCCCACCCAGGGTAACCTGCTGTATGCCAGAGCATGTGTGGCATGGGCATTCCCTGGAGACAAGTGGCAGCAGACAGCATAAGGCTACTACTTGTCCCTGAGGAAACAAAGTCTGAGCTCCTCTGGACATACCCCTGGAGTCTGCCGCTCAGAAACAGATCCAGGAGTGCTGTAGGACTGTTATCAAGTCAGTGGTTCTCAACAGGTGGCCACAGAATGAAAGGATGTAAACATACGCTCTTTCTAGCTTGGGCCCTATGCAAAGAGCCAAGCACAGGTCTCGTCTCTGCCTGAATTCAGTGCAAAGAGGTAAGTGCTCCCTCTTTCTCCCTTCCCCTGTGTGAGGACAGGGTCACTACTCTGCTAAGTGTTCACTTCCCACTTCCCCTGCCCAAGAGTTAAGCGCTGCAATAAATAAATTAGTTACTAAATTGGGATGCTGCCTAATTCTGGAGTTATGGATTGGTGTCAGGAGCTTAAAAAGGTTGATAAGTCTGTGGCCATGGGGAAAAAAGCTGACCAACTCTTTAAGTTTTTAATTACTATGAAATAAAAAAATTGCTTAATGCAAAGACAAAAAGCATTCAAAGCTGCATGATTTCATACATTTATTTTAAGTAAATGTGATTTATTTTCCAAGTAGGTAAAAACTTATGGCTTCTGCCAAGCTGAAGGGATGATCTTTACAGGTAGAAAGGTTGCTACCACATTTTAAGTGATAACCACTTACATAATACTGATAAGTCATTAATTGTTTCTCCTATCAATTCATGGGGCATAAATATTATTTTTATTTTATTTCATAATTGAAAATAACTCATAACAAAAATGTTTAAATCCTATCAAACACATATATATGTCTAAAAATAAGACATGAAATTCTTACACAAATTTCAAGCCTATAATACTAGCCAAAAGCAGGAAATATCATTGCCTTGATTCTCAGAGTAATAGCCAAACAGATAACTAAGTCACAGCTGTCTGAATATTAAAATGAACTGTGCTGAATCAATATTAGAAATGTTATCCATGTCAACACTGTCTTTTCCTTATTTTAATGTGAGAACCAAGAGAAGTTTTGCATCATTATGTTAAACATGATGCATTCATTATTTACACGATGTATTCATTATTTAATAGACCTAAGCTTGATAGGAAATAAACAAGAAGCAGAAAAAACAAGAGTAACAAGTATGCCTTAGACATTATTTTAAACTTTTAGAAAGAATGAAATATCTGAAAATGTACTTGCTGAACCTGTTATTTTTACTTCTTTTCACAGGTAACACCACCCACCTACTGTTCCTCATTGGCTGCTAAAATCATGGTAACAACAGAAGAATAATTAAATTAGTAAACCTTTGTTATTATGTTTCTGGTTTTTATCTCTAGATCAGGGTGTCAAACTAATCAAGCCCCATGGCTCAAAATCAGCAGTGTGGGATTGGTCCACAGGCTGGACTGGGTCTGCAGATCAGCCTGAACCTGGTTCTGCACTTTGTGTGCAGCATGTGAGGCTGGTCTGACAGACAGCACATACAGTGTGTGGGTCCATTCTGAAACCCAGGGGGCAGGCACTAGGGCTCTCTACAGCCTGGGTTTTTGACACTACTGAACAGGAGGGACAGGTTTCCTCTCTGCTTCTCTGCACACCTCTGAGTACAGAATTTAGTTGTTATGCACATTCTAGTCTGTGGACATCTTGCTCATATATGTACCCAGAAACAGCAGCGCATATAGCAATCATCATAAACCCTATTCACAATAGCAAAGCAGTCATGCTGTAAGTTAAAATTGAATGTAGAAAACATTTCTCACTGGAAACTAGATTATCCACTACATAAATTAACTCCTATAATAAATACTAATAGTAAATGTTCATATTACTAGAGTGTATAGGTTTCTTTCATGAGGCATATACTCTTTAAACAGATCTAACCATCCTTCTATCAAAAGGTTCCACTCATTTTTAGTAGAAACACTTTTAAAAAATAAATAAATAAAAGCATAGTATATACATGTAAACTTCCTTTTCTTTAAAAAACCCACACAATTAAAAATAGTATTCAAAGTATCTTGAATTAAAATTCCAGATTAAACCAAATGACAAAGGAAATTTAGCACATGCTTACCTGATTTGAGTATCTCATGCTAATGTTCCGCTGATCTTGTAGAGGTATATAACGGCCTACTGGGTCAATGTCTTTAGGACTTATCAATTCATCAACTGAAATAAGCCAAAATAAAAATATAATAACAGTCTTAACACTTTCAAGGTAGCACATAATAATCTGCTACTAACACTGTGGATTTTATTAGGACAAAAACATATTCTGAAAGGACTAATGTGAACTCTAAGCAGTTAAGGATCAAGTCCCCCAGCAGAAATCTTTCAAGCAACATTTCTCCTCACGCAGCTTGGCCCCATGAATCTGTATGCAACAACAAAACCCTCTCCCATGTCTGAATTTTGAGGGCATCCCACAGACCACTTGTTTCTGGCTATATAACCATATTCCAGATGAGCTACAAAGGACCAAAATGTGAGGACTAAGACTCCTGCTAGTTAAAACTGAAAACAAAGCTGCAGATATATGTGTACAGACCTAACAGCTAAGATGTTCATGCAGCCACTAGAGCATATGCACTAATATCTATGCAAGGAAATTATCAGGCTCCACCAGATAATATATATGAAGGTAAACCTTGTCCACATGCACACAGAACTCTGCAAGGCAACAGCACTGAAAATACCTATTTTTAGATTCCAAAACTGATGATCTCTAATAAATTTACACCAGATATAAAGAACGTCAAACAAATAATAGGTTTGTTCATGAAAAGTACTTGAACATAAGTCTCAGTAAAAAAGGAAGGTGGGAGAGTTGGAAATCATTGGTAACTGGGAACTATGCTGTCATTCCTTAGATGTGACCCTCTTATCATCTCACAAAAACACAGAAAAAGGGCTAAAAATCAACAAGTCAGCTATGTGTAAAGAACAGAACAGAACTTTAAGGTGATATAGGTGTACAGAACATACTTGTATTCATTATCATGGAGCAGAAAGGGATCTTGGAGACATTACTGACTCCAAGATGAACATGGGATGACAATGCGAGGTCACGGTTGGCAGGGCTAACTGGACGTTGTTGTGCATCCACAGATGCATCTCAAGCAGGGACAAGGAGGTGATCCTCCCCCTCTATGCAATACTGGCCAGGCCACAGCTAGAGTACTGCATCCAGTTCTGTGCGTTGCACTTCAGGAGGGATGTGGACAAGATTGAGAGGGTCCAGAGGAGGG